CTTCTATGAGGCTTCTATAAGGTATGTAGACCTTCTATAAGGCTCCTGTAATGGTAACTACCCACCTGAAAATGTCCTAGAAGAAGGGCGGATTGGGCTCTCTGGCTAATATAGGGGGGCCTTAATAATTAGAATAGGGTTTTGGGGCCCATTATACTATGCTTATAACAAGGAACCCGCCCAAAAATAGTATTGGAATAGGGTTTTGGGGCCCATTATACTATGCTTATAGCAAGGAACCCGGCCCCAAAATAGTATTGGTAATTATTTAAGCCCCTAAATTGCCAACCACTCCTGCAGAATCCTTGCTGCACAGGAACTCGAAGCACCGACGTGGCTTTATTGGGGGTTGGGCTGGGTGGGGGTGCGGGTTTACCATTTAGGTTTTTGACGCGCTCGGATCCGAAAACGAAGCTTGTTGCACGATGAAGGATACGGGACTAGGAACGGTTGAAGGGAACCCTGGCAACCGGAGCGCCGCAAACTTCGGATCCAGTTGGATGGCAGCGAGGTAGAGCGACCTCAGGCGACATATCGAGTTGGCTGCGCTACTGTTTTGGACGCAACGTTGCAGTGCCCATAGACATGCCGCATAATTACGTCCTATAGCAAAGGGCAAAGGGTACTCTACATGCTCTTTCCATACTCAAGCGTGACGGGTTTCTGTCGGTATCCTTGAATAGTCCGAAGGCCGCCAACTTTCACGGTAATTGACTTGTCACACCTGCCGCAGCGGCCAGCTTTTGACTCTCAGAGCTTAGGGCCGCTGCATTGCTTGAAAACCACAACAGCAACCCTAAGCCCTAAACCCTCAACCCTAAACCCTGAACCCCAAACCCTAAACCCTGAAACCCTAAACCCTAAACCCTAAACCGCAAAACCATCTCATTGGCTTCTCAAGTCTCTGGTGATCCTGCCCAGTGCAGCTACACAGGTCGCGTTTCCCTGTGCTGCCGAAACCCAGAAGCCTCGAATGCGACTTCGCCCTAAACCGCCCTAAACCCTAAACCCTATACTCTAAACCCTAAACCCTAAACCCTAAACCCTAAACCCTAAACCCTAAACCCTAAACCCTAAACCCTAAACCCTTTCGAGGCCTTTGGTTCCAGCACGTGCCATCTGACAGGCGAACCCAGTCCTTCCGAGAGGCTCTATACCGAGTTCCCGGTGGTTTTGGTGACCTTGCGAAACCTCCCAAAGAAAAGCCCCTAATATAGGGGCCTTGATAATTAGAATAGGGTAGTTTGGGGCCCATTGAACTATAAGTGTAATAAAGAACCCCCCCAAATTAGTATAGGTAATTGTTTAGGCCCCTATATTAAACTCAATGCGCCGAATTGTCGCTTCGAATTTGGCTGTGTAGGCTGCGAATTTTGGTTGGTTTAGGGTTCCAAGTTTAAAGAAGAGCGCCAACCCTGATCGGGCCTAAAATATTCCACTGGCCATGACAAGGAACCCATGGAGGAAGCATCAGTGGGCCCTAAACCGTAAACCCTAAGCCCTAACTCACACACTTGTCGGCACCCTGGCTTCACCTCTCAAACGATGCACATCAAACTCCCGCTTGCCAAGCTGCACCTGAGTTTAATGTAGGAATATCTTCATATTCGACACACCAACATGGACTCAATTCCAACTCAGGGATACTACTTTGAAAGTCGTGATGCCGAAATGCACCATTTTCAAATCGCAGGATTGCATCGTTGGAAATCTTTCCGCTTGGCTACATCTATCTCCACGACGGTGACAGGTGAGGGTCATCTTGATCCACCGTCATGAAGGTGCAGAAATAATGTAAGCCCCAGCTTGGCCCTGCATTTCAATTTCAGACGAGACCACTGAATAGGTCAATACTGCACCCTCGCACGGCTCAGCCTTTTGCACTCTAAGCCGCCGCCACGCCAGAAGCGAGACGTTCATAGTCCGGCTCATGCATCTAACCCGCCGACCCCTGACAATAACGACCCCCTCCCTCCCGAGCATCATGTGAGTGGGCCGAAGGCTTGGGACTTGATGTGTCAAGGCGTATAGGGTCAAAGATCACACTATCTGCCCAGACCTCAAAATGAAACTCTATACCACAAGGACAGGATCATAGAGAAAGAAAAGCGGGTTTTGCTAAGCGTGCAATATACGCCTTGGGTTTGAAGAGGTTAAGAAGCTTAGACTTCGCCTCTGCCTTGCGCTAGGGCGAACACTCTGAACCGTGAACCCGGGTTTATAGGGTTTAGGGGACGCGGAACCGCAGTCAAACGCTAAACCCTCAATCCTTGGTCCGCCGTCCTTCGGATGAAGCAGGTTCGCCAAGTTGTTGTAGGCGAAGGCATAGCCTGGATCCTCAAGACGGTCGCAGGTCATAAAAGTGATGGCTCTCACATACTAGGCCCTCCCAGGCCTACTATTTATTCTTCATCACCACGTCTTGAACTATAGGGTTTAGGGTTTAGGGGACTATAACTACTGTGACTCTGACGTTTCTATATGCGGCCAGATACTGTCACTATGATCGCTCACCAAGGCCCGCTCAAGCTCGATCCCCCGGAGGAAGAGGCTGCGCTTGTCCCACATGCGACCATCGGCGAGCTGAATGACCTGCGCAGAATTTGGAATTGGCCCTAAACCCCCCCTAAACCCTAAACCCATTGAATTGGCCCTAAACCCCCCTAAACCCTAAACCCTAAACCCTAAACCCTAAACCCTAAACTCTAAACCCTAAACCCTAAGCCAGAGAATTGGCCCTACACCCGAAACCCCAAGAAAGGGGAGGCGGGTAGGGTTGTGAGCTTTGGGGCTAACTCCGGAATTGCCGAAGCTTAAGACAAGGGTTGAGGATGTGCCACTAAAGGTTGCTTGCTTAACCCTGTGGAAGCCTCAATCAGGGCTGCTTTTGGGGGGTCATAGTATACTTGTAATAAACTCATTCTAATTGCACCACTAAATATATCAGGCCCCTATATTACCTAAGCACTATAGAGGGTTCATGTCCGGTTTTGCGGCCTCAGATCGCCCAAGGACGACGCCGAGGTTGCCTGGGAAGCTATGGGGTTTAGGGTTTAGGGTTTATGGTCCAGGGCTTAGGGTTTAAATAGGGTTTTGAGATCAGTGGGCAATCTTGTACACTGTAAAATCACGAAGCAATCTTGAGGTATAACTAGAATGGGAAGTCATAGGCACATGGCTTCCATAACAGTTTATGATAGTGTGGTATAGAGCGTTATAGCTGTAATTATACAAAAACTATAGAGGGATAGTTCCAACCTCTACTGTATACTTCGCACCCGGTGCGGACAGTTATGAGTTATAACCAACGCAAAAACACAAAACTATCTTCCAACAATTTGTCCTGGCAACGCAAAACTATCTTCCAACAATGGTCCTGGCAACTACATACACGGCGGTACACAGCAACGTCCATGAAAGTAGTGCTGGTACCCAAGAAATAAGTACAAACAACGGTTCAAGTGGACAAACCGCAACCATAAGCTGCAAAATCTGGAAGTACATGTAAGTGCGACAAACACTATGAAGACCGAGAGAAGTGTACGATGCCAACCACAGCACACCGGCGCTTCGTCGTTCATTTAGTGTTTCGTGCAAGCAACCACCATTATAACCATCGCCACATCATCATCTTTGACTTCATCTTAGCCCCAAACCCTGAACCTTACCCCTGCCGTTGACGGACAAGACCGGCTTCATCGACACCAGCCTTACATACTTTCTTGGGGTTTGAATATACAACGAGATGAATAATTCTTAAGCACACTCAGGGACGGTCCATAAACCACAAACCCAGAGAAGACAATACCCGTTAATTAAGGAATATACCTTACATTATAGGGGCCTTAATCTTATGATTTAAGGTATATTCCTCCCTAATTAAGGGGTAGTGGGTCTCTGGGAACCTCCACCCCTCAATCCTAAACCCTAAACCCTAAACCCTAAAACCCTACAACCCTAAAACCCTACAACCCTAAAACCCTAAACCCCTACAACCCTAAAACCCTCAAACCCTAAACCCTAAACCCTAAAACCCTACAACCCTAAAGCCCTACAACCCTAAAACCATAAACCCCTAAAACCCTACAACCCTACAACCCTACAACCCTAAAGCCCTAAACCCCTCAATCTTGAACCCTCAATCCCTGGAGCGGCCCAGAGCCAGGAGCGGCCCAACAGAAAGCTCTCCGGGGTAAACACTTGAATGAAGCCTGGGTTTAGGGTTTAGGGTTTAGGGTTTAGGGTTTAGGGTTTAATGTAGGGGCCTTAATAATTAGAATAGGGTTTTGGGTGTTCCTTATTATGGTTATAGTATAATACCCCCTAAGCCCTATTCCAACTATTCAGGCCCTTATAGTAAACCATATGTAAGGTTTCCAGGGCTTGACAATTGAAAGAAGCCTAAACCATCATACAGGGGCCTTAACAAATAGAATAGGGTCCTGGGGCCCATTATACTATAATTATTATAAGGAACCCTATGTTATGTGAGGTTTCCAGGGCTTGCGGTTGAAGGATTCAGCACGGCTTTTTTTGGTCCTTGCGGAATGCCAGCGCAATCCACGCTGCTATTCACAACGGTTGTGGCTTGCGAAGCCCTGAACCCTAAACCCTAAACCCTGAACCCTAAACCCTAAACCCTAAACCCTAAACCCTAGACCCAGAACCCGAAACCCTAAACCCAGAACCCTAAACCCTAAAAGGTTTGGCCCCAGTTGAGGATTCAGGGTTTCGGGCTCGGGTTTACGGCTTCCGTTTCGGATTTCGGGCCTACGGATTTCTAAGGCGCTTTAGGGTCTAGGGTTCCGGGTTTTTGGGGGTTAGGGTTCAGGGTTTAGGGTTTAGGGTTTCGGGTTTGGGACTTTACGGTTGTGGCAGATAGGCAGATCGGGCTTCAAGCGGTTTAGGGTGTAGGGTTTAGGGTTTAGGGTTTAGGGTTTAGGGTTTAGGGTTTAGGGTTTAGGGTTTAGGGTTCCAACCGAGATGCAGTGAGCCACGGCATTGCCAGGATCGAGTTCCACCTCATCTTTCCAGCGGAAACTTGAAAGCGTAAGCTAGGTGCCTGAAGAATTAATACTAGCATCCCCTTAAGTCGCTTACTCTACCCTAAACCCTAAACCCGAAACCCTAAACCCTAAACCCTGAACCCTGAACCCTAAACCCTAAACCCTAAACCCTAAACCCCTAAACCCCTATACCATGAAGCCATGTTCTAACTCTCAAGGACTCGTAAGGAATCCTGAGGGCCCAGCTATGCCCGGAAAAGTTGAAAGCAACTTTTAGGGGTTTAGGGGTTTAGGGTTTAGGGTTTAGGGGTTTAGGTTTAGGGTTTAGGGTTTAGGGATTGAACCTTAAGGGTCCAAGTACCAAATAATCATATACTCTCCAAAATAGCAACCTACATAACTGCTATCAGAAACCTAAGTACCTAATTATTGGGTCCTTTGGACCCTTAGGGTGCTCCCTCCAGCCTTCATCCCAAATCCGGAAGCTGCAAACTCCCGAGACCCAGAACTCTGAACTTTAGGGGTTGCGGGTGTAGGGAGGGCTTGAGGTTAACGTTTAGGGAAGTTGAGGGTTTAGGGTTTAGGGCTTCAGGTTTTCAAGGTTTAAGGTTGTAGGGCTTGGGGTTTAAATAAATGGGGGTTTTCGAAACTAGCGGACCCTAATATAGTACTTTAAATAGTGAGGATCCTTATTATAAGGACCCCCAAAATACGGTAGCCCTAATTTTCGGAAACTCCCA